GCAAGACTCAATGCTTTTCTGGGTTGCATCAATGGGAATGTTCACATAAACACATGCATAAATATTTGCAGGGTCAGGACTTCGATATGTGGAATGGGGCTACTAAAGTAAATATTTTTGCCTTTTCAAGTGAAAATACATGGCGTTCTCTTTTCCTTGTTGTTATAAGGTGCTCTTTAGGATTAGTAATAAAAAGTGGAGTTACACATTTTTAAAGAGTTTAAAAGTTGTGATTTTCCATTGTTTTTTCTAACTTCATAAAATGTGTGATTATCTGGTTCCTTTTTGTTTTGGCTTCTTGACAGACAATTCTCTTATGGGGACAAAGTAGTATAAATCAACCGAGAAGTCAAAACATCAGAAGCAGCTAGATCAATTAATAGATTGCAAATTTGGCATTGCAAGTAGAGCCTCTTTGAAGGCACTGGCCACAGAGGCTGTAGTCTATCACTCACACAGCTCCAGTCTGTCTATTGATTTGGTTTCTTTGGCATCTCTAGGGGAAAACACTTTATATCAGCTTATTAAGAAAATGGATCATAAATTGAAAACATTTCCTAAGATTCAGACAACTGAAGCTTCTACAGAACAGATGAACAAGAATAAATCTATTAAGGAACTAATTCAATTCAACCAGGTGTTAAATAGTCCAAAAATGCCATTGCATAGATTGGTGAAACACCATGCTATGTTACATTGCAAATTCTGGGAAATAAGTCTATAGCCGATAGCTTGCTTGCAACAGGCTTGAAAGTGGGACTGGAGGGGAGCGAGAGAGTCCCCTAAATTTCTTTGCCAAAGTTGTTTGGAGAGTTTGAATGAAAAATATGATCCTACACTATCTTCAAAAAGGGCTTTACAGTTCTCCATGTGGTATTTTGATACAGGGATGTTGATGGGAGAGGAATTAGATGACAACTTCCTTGGAGATTTAAAATTAAATTTCTTTGATAATATTTCAAAGTTATTTATTAAAGACTTCAAATTTTAGTCTTTCCCAATATTGCTCAGGAAACACAAGGCCACAGATTATGGTTTAATGTATTTAGATCTGGATTCAGCAAGGCAAGCACAGAAGTCTCACTTAAAGTACTGGAATAGTTCCACTGAAGTAAGTATGTGCTTAGTGCCTTGCTAAATCAGGGCATTAAATAAGATATTAGTAAAAGCAAAGCAAAATTGTCATTTTAGCCAGGCAAGCTCCATGTCATACATAAAACCAAGAATGGAATTATCATTAAGGTCAAGTAAGTAAGTCTACTTACTATATGCATGCCCCCCACCCCCATCCCATGGGTGGGTGTGACAAAGAAGCCACTTCTCCTTTGGTACCAACTCCCCCTCCAACCCAGTGATGGTCTGCATCTTCCTGTGACCCAGTCCTTCAGTCAGAGCACTTTTAGTCCTCTCTCTTCTGGGAGAAAGAGTCCACACACCAATAATCTAGCAGCATCACAGCAGACCTTTGGCCCAACTTCAGGCTTTGTGGGCCTTTCGGCCCTAGGCTTCAGGGTCTTCACATCACCACCGTAGGTGGAGCAGTTAGGGAACCCAAGCCAACCATCTACTCTGGATTCTAGCCCCAGGATTCTTTATGAAACATATGGTGTCTTTTATTCATACCCTCTGCTGTATCCCTGAACTCCTACCTACCTTCCCCACAGCTAGGCCTTTCTCAGTCTCTTCTGTAGATTTCAAAAAAGAAGAACCAAACTAGTTATGGAGAATGCAAGAAACAAGAGGTCCCACACAAGGCCTACTTGCCCCAGGAGACTTTGGCATCTATACATCTGTAGTTAGGCTCTGCCCCCAGTTGAGCCTTCCATCACAGGGCTAGCTCAAGAAGTTCACACCCTTTCCCAGACAGCCACTGCTAAACTGGTCTTTTTCTTCTTAACTCCTCCCTGCAAGTTTGACACCTCTGACAGGTGTAACAAGGTGGAGCCGATTGATCCCATAGGCCCTCATTAGCCCCTTCTGGGTCAATGTGGGAGGCCCATCACAGCTACAGAATAAATGTAATGCTCTATTAGTGGCAACTTTGAATGTGTGATTATACATATTTTGCCATTTTCCCCCTCACTGAAATGGGGTTTGTTACAGCTCTATTATTGATGGCCTTATGTGTAGGACTAATTGTATATGTTTAGTATTTTTTAAAAATATATAAATTAAACTCAGTTAAGAAAAGTTAAACTCAGAACCTTGCAGACTGCAGGATATTTGACAGTTTTTAATTGCTAACTTATTTGTGACCATCAGAAATGGTTTCATTGTATAAAAATCAGTGTTGCAGCATGGTTCATTGATCAGGAAGAACACAGTCCTCCCTGAAATTGTTGAGCAGGGTACTGTACCACATACAGTAAACCAAGCATTGCAAAGGCAGGCTGTCACTTTCTCACAGTATTCTCAGCAGGGTGTGTTGTGCTACTTTTACCTTGATGGGCAGTATATGCTTAATTCCCGTGGTGCTGTACAGGTCTAGACAACAGCAGTGGAAATGTTTGCAGTCTGTCTACACTAGCTGCCACCACTAGAGGAGCTACAAGAATGGGAGCTTTCTTGAAAAAGACCAGTGCACACAAGGCTATAGTCTTTTCTATTTCCCTTTGAGACATCTCCCACTGAAATGGAAAGTGGGGGGGGGGAGAAGAGAGGGTAAGTTCTCCAGCAATAACTCTAACTCTTTCAGTCTCTTCCCACCATCTCGGATTTCAGCTCCAGTAGAAGAAGGGAGAGGAGTCCCAGTTTAGTGGTAACAGCCATTTACAACAATACCAAATGATATTATGCTGTTAAAACATCAGTAACAGGGTATGGACTGTGAGAGCCTCTTTTGGCACAGATTAAAAAAAAGTTTTGTAGTAGCTTTTCTTCCCCAAAATAAATTCATCCTTCCATTTTAGGGCCATTTTGAATATTTTCAGGACATCAAAATTCAAAACACCTCCCAAGAGAGGGAGTTTTGATACTACATAACTTTCTAAACATAAAAAAAAGTAACATAGCCCAGCCAATCAACAAGAAACTTGAAGTGTGTGTCCAGTCAAGGAAGGAACATAGTTAGCTAATATTCAGTAATGTAGAGAGAGGCCCATGAAAAGCATTTTTGTTTTCTATCCAATATAGCTGTGTCACAGAGCGCATCACTCACCACCAGCTTGGCACCTTCTCCTGGTTGCTCTGGAGTTTAGCTCAAGGCCGACACCCCATCCATGTTCTGCATGTCCTCACTCTCTCTCTCTCTGTTGTCCATCTGTAGCCCTTCTCCCAGCCTCAGGAACTGAAGCATCCTCTTTGTGGCTTGCCTCTCCAGCCATATCATTATTTGTGTTTCCCCCTTCTGGAGGGGGAGTTAGTATTGCAGCCCAATAGTCCAACCACTTCTCCAGTGGCAAATGGGGGGAGGGGGGCCAAAACCCAGGCCCACCCACTACTCCATGTATCGACCCAGGGACTCTCTGAAGCACAGTCACCTACTGTGTTCCTTTGCTTCAACTGCTGCTGCATTTCCCTGGGCCACAGCACCCTATTCAGTCCCAGCTCCTTCTTGACTCCCTGTCCAAGGCACTACAGGGTTGTGACTACTAGCAACAGTCTTTTCTCTTCAAACACCCAGCAACCACTGACCCTGTTCTTCCCTGCAGCTCTTCTTATTTGGGCCTCCTAGGCCCAGATTGGCTGCTTCTCACAGCTTCCCTCCTATTGGCTCCTTCCCCACACAGCCTCCCTAGGCCTCTCTTAACCCCTTCCATGTCAGTGTGGGGTGGATGCCCCATCACAAGCAATAATAATCATGGTAAGTAATAATAAATCATTGTAAGCATCATACTCTGACAGCACATAGCACATTTAATCCCGAAAGGACTTTGAAACCTGTGTTAAATCCCACCTGTACCTACACAGGAGCCAATTCTTACTTGTCGTATTCACAAAAGGCCTGATCCAGTGTCTACTCAAGTCAATGGGGCTCTTTCCATTGACTTGAGTGAGTGCTGGACTAGTCCTATAGGTTGTTCCGTTGAAGTCAATAGAGTTGCTTGCTTGAGTAAGATGTGTGGGATTTGAAACCAAGTGCATAAGGAGGTAACAATATGCACAGGACACAAGCAGCCTTGTGCATGATGTGAGCAAGAGTTTCTTGCCACAGACCACCAGAATGCTTTAGCATATACATCTACTCAATACAGCCAGGCAAACTATGACCAAAGAGAGAAAGGGACAGAGCGGGGCCCAAAGCTATTAAGAACGTGTGGCTGCAGCAGTAATACACATCTCGGAGCATATTCAGATGGCCTGACGTCTTTCAACCAAGCCTGCAAAAAGAAGATTTCTATGACCACACCTAGCAGCATAACCGAGTATGGAATGATGCCTGCACTGCATAGGCATTTGGTCATATTGACAGGATTTGACTGTAAATATCTGTGTATGTACATATCTTTCTAGTTATCATTTCATTCACCACTGAAATGCAGCCACCTCAGCTCTAACTCAGTTGACAATCTTTTGTTTCATGGAGGCTGGATGAGGTCCTAGCAGAGCACAGCATCCCAACACAATAGGTTAGTACAGGTAATAAGGTAGAACACCATACACAGTTGGAATTGAGGTAGTTAGAACAGGAAGTAAGAAATTGAGGTTGGATTTACAGGAAGAAATATCTCAGAATAACATGGCTGCTGCTAGTGCATGAATTACTTGTTTCTGTTACTGGCAGAGATGCAGGCTAATTTGTTTAGCTTTTAGCTGATTAATGTATTGAGCAGCATCTTGGCAATAATATTATTATGCCAGTAGGACTGTGTGCCAGTTTAATGTATTATACAATAGATTAGCATTCATCACATTGCTGATTAAGGCCATTCCCCTATAAGTTCACATGCAGCATCAGATGGATGAATCACTGAGCTTGATGTTTTAACACTAACTTCAAGGGGATCCATATCAAAGATTACAGCAGCATTTCCACTGCTCCAGACCACAGAGGACCAGTATTTAAGAACTCTCACAAGAGTATTTTATTTGACATCAGCAATATACATTGGTATATAATAGGAAAAGTTTGCACAATCTTTCTTGTAAGACGGATTTATTTTCCAAATACACAGATGTTCATAATACAGGTAGGTAACAATTAAGCTGCACAATAGCAAAACAAGTTTACAGTTATTGAACCACCTTAGATTGTTATTATAATCAGGTGACCAGCACGGAACATATGCAAATTAGCCTAATAACTAAATTAACGTTTTACTCTTCCAGTCCTTCAGACACATTGTTTCATTCCAACAAAAATGTGCATGAAGAATATTATAAAAGAACCCAACAGCTTCCACCTCCAGAAAACTAGGCATAACTTAACATTTAAAACCACCCAATATAATAATGAGACTTCATGGTAACTATCTAGGTTTGATGTTCCTCCCCCACCCCCACTCCTCCCATATTGCAGTACTGTTATGGAGTACATGAGAATGTGGCGTGGTATAAAGGCGTTTGGGCTGGTTGCCTGACTCACTAGTTTTAAATTCATGACGGAGAAGTTATTCAGCTCATTCCCACATGCGTGCTAATGACACATTTCTACCACCACATTATTGTGCTCTTTTTGTGTGCCACATTTTATTTTATTTTAAAGTATTTTAGGGAGTTTTAAAAAATTGTGTTGGGACGACTTCTTGTATCCCTCTACCTGTAAAGTCAAGGGCCTTACTTACCATGAACAGGGCTTCACAGGCAATGAAAAACTTAAAACTAATAAAAAACCATCAAATATTATCTAAAATAGCTTTTCTGTACTTAAAAATATCACTGAGTGAGAAGCACCTGCTTTGTGTCAAATTGGAAGGCTGGGAATCTCCCTTTTCCGTTGGTTTCTAGCTCCATACAGCCATAATGTGTCAAACTTTAAATCAGTCACTGGTGTGGAAAAGAATATTGCCTAGCCTGCATCTCTGACCAGTGTCATTTGAGAGTGGGAGGGGTAGGAAATTCTATATTTTGGGGAAAGAAACATTTTTGTGGCAGGTTGATTGATTTTTTTAAAAGCTGGCAGCTGCTCAGAGGCTGGACTGTTAGAATTAACCTGCAGGAGATGGATTAGTGGGCAGAGTACAGATGAGTGCTCAAGGGTGCATAATAAATGCAACCTGTCACATGTCTGTGCAACTTATCACATGGCTCCATCATTTATCATATGGCTGTCGTCACCACACACATAAAATGTGCGTGAATATATAGCATCCAGTGCTACTGGTACATTTCAGCTGCTTTACACTTCTCCAGTGATGCAACAAAGTTGTAAACCAGGTTCAATTAGCAAGTTAATGTGTTTGCCACTGTATGTCATCAGAACAACCCAAAGCAACACCAGTGAATCTGTCCCACACCATATACATACACACACCTTCACGGGCACATTTGTTTTTACTTTCAGTATTAAATATGCACAAGAGTCTTGTTCCTGACATTCTATAGAGAAAATATTGGTCTCAACGAGCCAAGTAAAATGTATGGGTTTCTAACAGGTATTCCATATAGTTCATCATCAGTGGGGTTAACTGCCAGCTTGGGAGAGGGAACATGATCTAGTGGAATGAGCCTAAAGCTGGGAGCCTGGAACTCCTGAGTTCTCAGACCAGCCTTGTTACTAACTTGTGTCCCGGTGCTGCGGTGCTTGGTGCCCTGAACTCTGATTGACTTTATGGGAAGCTGAAGGTGCTTACTCCTCATAACAGCACCCTCATTTAACTGGACTATTAGATGCCTAACTTTAGGAACCCATCTTCCTGCTCCACTGTAATGTTGCACCTCCCTTCGTCAGCCTGGTCTGCTGTTCCCAGAGGTGCATTCAGCTACTGAAGTGTAGCTGGCAGTACTGCTGTCTCTCATCTCTCATCTCTCATAGTGTCCATTAGGGTGGCAACTCCAATCTCTGGCTGTGATTCCTGCCAACAGAAGTCGGCAGTTATGTGCTGAATCAGAGCATCCCCAGCTGCCCTGGCCATTCTCCCTCTCTGCTCAATGCTGCCTCCTCTTGGAAATGCTCAAGGTGGTTGCATTTCCCCCAGCTGAGGGGATACTGAGGGAGTCTTGTACCACTGCAATATCCCCTCTGATTAGACTTTTTGACACTGGGAACTAACCACCAGGATCTCTTGAGTGCAGGATGAGGGAAGGAGGATTAGAGATGGTCATAATTTTTGCAAAAGTGGTAGGATGTTGTGTACATTTGTTTTGTTTTCAGGAAAATGTTTCCCATTTTTTCCCCTGAGAGTTATTGAGCAGTCCCTTGCTGTAAAGCAGAAGTGGATTCCCTCTGCCCCCCCCCCTTAAGCAAAAGGCTCAATGGTCCCCAAGATCAGCTGTCCTACTATGGAGCCAGCATACAGTAAGAGGCTGTCATGCCTGACTACATCTTAAATGAACTGCCAAACTGGGCCTTAAAGTTCCACATATTTGGTTGATAATCTATCCCTGCCAACATTTCCCTGGACTTGTATTGTTTGGGGTAGGGGGGGAATAATTTAAGCAAAGGGAAAAATATTTTCTAAGTTATATATGAATGGTAAATGACAGGTTGTAACTTAGATATATTCTTCTCTTCTATTATTTTACATAGCCCTGGATGTATGTATTTATATATATTTATACATGCAGTATGCAGAGAGGAGAAATCTCTCTCTCTGTCTCTGTGTGTGTGTGTGTGTGTGTAAATATAAATCTCTCTCCTCCTCGTTCTTTACAGGCTCTGAAAGAAAAGATGTATTCAATATATTTATTTTCAACTATATAAGAAACCATCACTGAATAACATCACAGTGTTAAATATTTCCTATTCTGATTGATACCAACCATCTTACACTATGAGATAAAAAATAGAGTAACAATTGACATTCACTGGATCTTATTTCCAATATCCACAGAGGAGAGCTCAAATGGAAATTTCTTTAAGACAAAATTAGCTTCTCGAGCATGGACAAAATACTCTGAAAAATTATAAATTGTTTAAGAACTAACTAACTAACTAAACACCACCCAGCTGAAGGACAATTAACTTGTTTACTTTTTATTTTAAAATAGGTTTTTAACCAGTTTTCCTAGACATTTTCCCATTCAGTTGTTACCTTGGTGGCATTCTCTACCTTCCCCTTCTCTCTGATTTGCACTAGGACTTTACAATTCACATATCAGTTTGTTTTAAATTGAAATCAGAAAACGTTTTCCCTTGATGTTTCATTTAACAAACAAACAACAAAACAAAGCAAGGGGGAAGCATCAACAAGAAAAAGTTTTAAAATGTTAAAAGTACAGGCTCAGCTCTAGGCTACAGAGGTGTAGTGACGAAGAAGACCACACTCCTCAAAAGGAAATACTGCATGTGAGTAAACCCACTGACTACTTGCATGGAACACTGACCACAAATACTTGAATGAAGTGTGGTGATAGCTGGAGGCTTTTTCCCTACCCAGTGCAGAGTCCAGAGAACGCATGTGTAGTTCCTCAGGGAGCATACTGAGCAGCAGCATTGAGCACATGAATGCTTTTGCTTTTTTTTTTTTTTAAATGTAGTTTATTTTTGCACTCCCTCCAGTGCTGGCCTCTGGACAGCAGACATGCAGGTTGGAGATAGGAGCCTGGTTACCCAATTCACACAGCCAAGCCTTCTTTTGGGTGTTCAGAGCTGATGGCTGTGCTAATTTTTAAATCTTTCTCATTTAACTTTTTAAATTAAAGCTCAAACAAAAACCTCTGGATTTAGCTTTCTTAATATAATGAGTATGTTTAATGATCAAGGCACCAACCTGCACTGTTTAAAGAATTATCAGGGTCTGGAGTGCTAGGAAACTTTAAAAAGCCACTCTTTGTTCTAGGCTGAGAAATGCTTCAAAATTAAGCAGAATAATAATGTTTAAATAATTGACTTTTATCCTACCTCTTAATCCTTCCTGACCTCCTCTAATGAGCTAGAAAGGGTGTATTCAATGAACAGAAAAAATGTTTTAAAAAGGGCACTTGCCAAGATATTTTCCATATTTGTTTTCTCATAATTCATAAAAAAAAATTGTTTGCAAGCTGTCTCCTGCCCAAACTCCTCACAAAATAACATTTCTTAAAATAACTCTTTGGAAGCCAGAAACTGAATTCTGCTTCCGTAGCCACATTCTCCCCCTCGCCCACACACAGCCTGGTTGATTTATGCACTTTCATGAGTCCTGGGCTCCTGGGATATGATTTTTGGTCCTTTAGTTGTTTTAAGTGCACAGAATCACCACACCAATCAAAAGGAAGCACCAGAGACAGTAAAGCCTCTGGGTATATTGCCACTGCTTTGACTGGAAAAAGCTACCTCGGTGAGCTTTGCCAGTAGATTATATTAAAATGTTTTCTTACTTACCAACCCGCAACTTTTATTCTAAAATCTTTTTCCTAGGTACAAAATCTAGGCTTGATTTTTCTCAGACTGACAGTGAAGAAGCATTTCCATTGACTTCACTGGCAACAGGAGAAAACCAACGTGCCAGGCCCTCTATGTCTCATAAGACGGCCTCAGAGCAGGAGTCACAGTAAAGAGAGGCAGGGGTACTACAGCTCCCCATCCTCTGCTAAAAGTACAGAGCAAGCTCTCTTTTCTTACCCCAGCTTAGGCAAGTGACACTCCCTCACTGCTCCCTCTTGCCCTTGGCTTGTGTGCGGAGAGCTTCCCTTCTAGTTTCAGTCTGCTTTAGCCACTGTCCCAGTAAATACATTTTTATACAATTATATTTTACTTTTTGGGGCACAAAGTGCTGCCTTATTCGCACTGCATGTGTTGGAGGGAGCAAAGAGTACATCCCACCCCCTGAGCACACCCACGCAGCAGCCGATCAGGATTGCAGTCGAATTCCCTTGTGTGTCAGACAGAGGGAGTGGCTAATGCAGACATTTGTGCACCAAGTACATATGGCCTACCAGCCTGAGACCTTGTTATGCCTGTGGTCTCCTGTGTGGCGTTCTGAGGCATGTGACAAGAAAGGTGAAGGGAAGAGCTATATGATGATGCTTTTTGTAGCACCTGTGAGGTCCAGTTAGGAGCATTTTCCTCCCAGAATCCCTGAGCTAGGCTGCTGACAGGGAAACTCAGGGACCCGCTACAAAACTATCGCTACTCGGCCACATATACCACCCCCATCCCCACCAGGCATGGCTGAAATTTGCAAGAGCAAGAGTTTGCCCCAGCTCCATGAAAAGTATAAGTGGCATATGATCTGGAAAGGCATGTATGTAATTACTATGTAACAAAACTGCATTTTTCATGTAAATTCCAGAACAACTATGGTTACCTGCATGGTTATCTGAAATGTTTTAAATCTCAAACAACGTCTGTCATCTAAGTTAACAATGAAGCACATAAATCATTCTTTTTCTCTTGAACATGCATTCATTACTCATGGTTCCTTTGATGATTAGATGAATTCTAACATAAAGGAAGCTTTTCAAACTTGCAACGGCAAAGCAGACTTTGACATTAATTTGTAGCGATGAGGTTCAGCCAAACAATCTCATGCTTTGAAAGCGCTTTAGATGAAATGCAGGTAAAAAGTAAACATTCCTGACTTCTGAGCGCTCCACCGTTACATCCTCGCAGAACAGGAAGATGAGCCGTCATCATTAGCGGCAAGGCCAGGCAGGGTTCAGTTTCACATAGCTTGGAAAGTATTGTTCTGAGAACCCCAACTGGGTATTTCATGTAGATTTATGCTTCTTCTATCAATCTCCAGTCAAGCTCTTTTTTTTAAACGGCAAAACCAGGCATGTAAATAATATTGATTTTACAAAAATAAATACTCTCTGATAATCTGTTATGTCTGTTTTTTATAGAATAACAGTGAGTTGTGGTATTCACTCTAACAGACAATATGGATACAGCTTTTATTAAAATGCAGAGCAAGCATGCTGAAGTAGATCAGCAGCAGCCAAAAATCAAACTAAAGCTATGTATTAGTCAAAGGTTAATTGTAATAGTACAATATATTATTTCTCTTACCTAAGTATCTTTGTTTGATTTTGAAAATAAAATTGCACAGACAATAACAACAACATATACTGAGCTTTTATATTCTTTTCATCCATGCAGAAACCCTTTCAAATTTAGGTTGGCTTGCTTTGAAGTACACCTTCATAATGTCTCCTTTACAATTCAGTAAATATAATATTTGAACATTTTTTTCAATGTTCAACAGTATACTGATGTACTACATTGAGTCTTGATCATGTTAACATTTTTTAATACTGGACTTATGCTGCCCTTTAGTGAAACCTTTCAGTAATTCTTGACTAGATTTGAATACTTCGCTAAGGCTTAGTTCACAGAATCTGAGATTCCAGTTGCCTTTTTTTTTATTTATTTATTTAAAGAAGTTGTATGGCTTTCTCTGTTGTACAGGAAATTAGAATAGAATTTGAATTAAAAAATCTGAGCAAATTACAGTGAGGTTTCAGAGTAACAGCCGTGTTAGTCTGTATTCGCAAAAAGAAAAGGAGTACTTGTGGCACCTTAGAGACTAACCAATTTATTTGAGCATAAGCTTTCGTGAGCTACAGCTCATTTCATCGGATGCAGTTATCCGATGAAGTGAGCTGTAGCTCACGAAAGCTTATGCTCAAATAAATTGGTTAGTCTCTAAGGTGCCACAAGTCCTCCTTTTCTTTTTACAGTGAGGTTGACTTTTTAGTTGACTGATTTGCTTTGGAATCATTTCTAATGAAGTAATATACAAAAGATTAGAAAGTCCAAGAGAAATCTCTCAGTACTTTAAATTATACATTACAAAGCAAAACAACAACAACAACAAAGATTTTAAAAGGTATATCCATCACCTCTGTTAATTCAACGGTGAAAACAAACCATGTTTTGCAGGCCTCACTTATTTTTAAAAGAATTGCATTTTTCCATTCTCTACCTTTA